TCCCGAACCCCCCTTCCCCACCCCTTCCCCCCCCCCTTCCCCCACCCTTCCCTCATCCCATAGCAGGATTTGCCGCCGCTTAAGAGCTCTGACAAATAATGGCTGTTTACCCCTTAAGGGAAGCGCTTGCATCTACCTTGTAAATCGCCGTTGACAGTGCCTGAGGGATATGTTGCCATAAAAGGGCATACTGAACGGTAAAACAGACGCTCGGGAAGCGTTGAAACGGTAGATGGAAACTTGAAAGAGCACATGAGATGTTAGGTCAGCTGGCAGTGGTATGTGTAGATCTGAAACGTTTGTAAAACGTTGAAATGTCATGTGACGTCAGTTAAGAGTAAGCGAAACGTTAAACGTCATGTACTGCCACTTAAGGCTATGTGACACAGTTAGATGTTAATGCGAGTTGAATGCCAGGAGGAATTTGAAAATGGTAGACGAAGCAGAATATATCATCAATGATCAACTGCTTACCCGTCGTGTAATCTTTTTCGACCTTCGGGGAAATGCGGAAACAGGTAGAGGTTCTCTCTGAAATGATCTTACTCATCGGGTTTAACTTTTTTTTCGCGAAATCAGGTGATTCGAGGAGAGCGTGTGCGAAAAAGTAACGTCATAAAGAAGAGAAGTTTGCGCTGAGATAAAGCTTCCCCTTGCTTGGATATAGGCTTATGTGTGTATGCATACACGGTGTGTGCGTGTGTGCGTGTGTGTGTGTGTGTGTGTGTGTGTGTGTGTGTGTGTGTGTGTGTGTGTGTGTGTGTGTGTGTGTGTGTGTGTGTGTGTGTGTGTGTGTGTGTAAATAAATGTGTAAGCAACTGAGTAACTGTGTGCGTGAGTGTGTGGGAATAAAACAGTAAATGAGTAAGTGAGAAAGTGTGTGAATAAGTAGGGAAAGGCGCAGATGTGTGTGTACCAAGAGGAAAGATTTTAAAAAATGATAATAACAGAAAATGAAATAACAAAAACATTAAAGATGCAATCCCTGTAGACTTCTTGGACATTCTATCCTTTCCATTCCTTCTTCCTAATCTTCTCCCTTCAGATTTTTTCTTTCCCGTTGCCTTCCCTCCACACTCTTCTCTATCCCTCTTCCTCCATCCATTCCTCTCTTCTTTCTTTCCTCCCCCCTTCCACTTCCCTTCTCCCTACTTCTTCTTCTGTAATTCTCCCTATTCTCTTTCCCGTCTTTCTCCCTCCCTTCACCCATTCTATCCCCCTTTTCCCTCTATTCCTCCGCATCCTTTCTCCTCTCCTCCCCCCCCCCTTTCCATCCCCACGCCCTGAAATGACTTTATAACTTTAAGTTCATGAGCATCGCTTCCACGTTCACATCTAAGTTTTCAATTTACATTTTAAACAAAGGGCTTTCGTCTGACAGCGAAATATAAAGCAAAATAAAAAATAGGAAAAGTAACAACAACAAAAATAAATAGGACGCTAAAATAGCAGTAGTTTGGATTCCCTCTCTCCCCTCCTTCTCCTCCCCCCCCCCCCTCCCCTCTCTTCCCTTTACTCCCTACGCCCGTCAGCCTTCCCAACACCTCCCCAACCTCTGTCCTAAGCCTTGCCCCCCCCACCCCCCACTCCCGGCCCGCTATGAGTCATGACTTTGCAGTCCGTGGCGCGAGGACCACGAGTGACCAAGGGAAGGGCTTCGGGCCGGGACTCGTACAGCTACAGTATGATGTAACACCTCTTCGTGTGGGATGAGTTAGAGAAGGATATGCAACCCTTTCGTGAATTTATCAAAGTCATAAAACCTTAATCATGATAATCGTGAGAGAATAGTACTAAATGAGAGAAATATCAGGATGTACCAGTAGCATACTTAAACCCACAAATTATGTATCTATGAGAAGAGAGAGAGTGAGTGCGTGGTGTGCTTTATATATATATATATATATATATATATATATATATATATATATATATATATATATATAATATACATATAATATATATATATATATATAATAATATATATATATATATATATGTATATGTATATATAGATATTCCCTCTCTTCCTCCACAACTCCCTTCTCCCTCCCCTCTCTCCCTTTCATATATATATAATATATATATATATATATATATATATATATATATATATATATATATATATATATATATATATATACATATATATATATATATATATATATATATATATATATATATATATATATATATATATATATATTATATATATATATATAATATATATTATAATATATATATATATATATATATACCGCTTATACGTATGTGTACGTGATGAATATACACTCTATTGAACATTCCTACATACAGCGTGAACATGCCTGTCCCCCACGGCCGAGCCGCAGGGAGCCAGCCAGAGCCTCGCGGCCCAAGAACTCACCTTGCGGAAGTCCCCTTGCACGACCATGCTGGGAGGGTCGCGGGCCCGCGATGGACCAGCCACCTGTCGCCGAGGGGAAGCAGCCAATTCTGCCCCGACTCCATTTGACCCCTCCTGCGGAAAAAGGGGAGGCCGTTAGTGCTCTGGGAGTGGTGGTGTTCAAGGGAGTGAGTGTGCAGAGGAAAAGGGAGACGGTCTGACTGTCCTGAGGTTGGTGGCAGTAAGAAATGGATAGTAAACAGAGGTTCAGAGCCCTCTAATGTTGTTTGCTGTTTAGAGGTAGTTAGTAATTAGAGAATGTTGGTATCTAAAGGTAATCGATGCTTAAAGATTATTATTCAATACTTAAAGATTGTTTGCAAATAGTTCAGCAGTAACATCTGCCATTTTAATAGGAAAAAGATTATAAAGTACATTTTCATATGGCATTGTTGTTCTAATCAACATGACTGAATTTGTGATGATATGGTATTTATATGCAATAATAATCGGGCAATGTTATTATTCAATGGTTTTCATGGATGAATGACGATGCATCTGTAACTTGATAATGAGAAGATTATTTACGCTGTGAGACCAAAATTAACACGAACGAACTTGTCTAAAAAAAAATCAGACAAAACACAAAATAAAGTAGAATTGTCGATGAGAGCGGCACGTAAGTTCTTGCAGTGCCATTGGCAGTAGCGACGCAGAACGCCATGGCGACAACTTCACCATAAACCTTAGTGCTGTTAAGTCACCATTACGGGATCTGCTTTAAAGTAAGCTTAGGCGTTCCTCGGCCTCCGGTGCCACGGCGAGGGAACCGCCGAGCCGCGGCGTCGCAGCTGGAAGTCACCGAACTGCTGCCCTACAAAGCGGCTTCATCATAAGAATGTGCAATTGGACGAAAAAGATATCTCATATATATCTATATATATATGAGTTTATATATGTATATGTATATATATATGTATATATAAATGTATATGGTAGAAAAAAAACACAATGCACAAACTATATTTAGTCTGTGCATTGTGGGTTTTTCTACCATAGTATCAACTCGGTATTGTGTTTTTCTAATCATATATGTATATATGTATGTATATCTATGTATATATATATATATATATATATATATATATATATATATATATATATATATATATATATATATATATATATATATATACATGTATATGTACATCCATATAAATACATTCATAAGAGCGCATACGCAAATGCACGCATATGCAAACACATGCACACGAGCAAGCACATACAGACACACAACCACTCACAAACAATAAAACAAGCAAACAAAACCATACACTAACACGCCCCACGCACGCACACGCACCCGTCCCCGCACACGCACGCACACGGGGCCGGAGAGATAGTACTAGAGTTGAACAGCAGGAAAGAGCACGCAAGAGCAGCTCACCTTCAACGTCATTTCGCCTGTACACCTGCATATGCTCCGCCGCCCAAAATTATTTGCATACATGAATACATGCATGTGTGTATGGAGAACTACGAACGCGCATACGGATGACCTGCGCGGCGCATAATGCATGGGACTACACTACGCTGGCGGATACAGTAGCTGGGTCGTCATTGTATAAGTATAAATACACGTTATTTACCCCCTTTTTATCTCACGAGGAACCGAAGTGGCGCTGTGGAGGCGAAGTGGTATTGACAACGTGAGGCTGATGGAGGCGGCGCGGCCTGGCTGAGGAGGAGCGCGTGTGTAGTGTAAAGTTGATGTTTCAGGTGTATGGGAGCGGGGAGGAGCGCGGGCGGAGGGGCGTGTGCGTGCGTGTGCGTGTGTTTACGTGTGTCTGTGTGTCTGTTGTGCGCGTGTGTGTAGATACATAGATGTATGGACACATAGATAGGAATACAGGTAAATATATGCATGCATGCACATAAACTCCACCACACCACACGCACGCATACACACACACACACACACACACACACACACATATATATATATATATATATATATATATATATATATATTATATATATATATATATATATATATATGATATATATATATATATATATATATATATATATATATATATATATATGTATATATATATATATCATATATATATATATATATATATATATATATATATATATATATATATATATATATATATATGTAAACCACAGTTCCCTCCCTGTGGGCGTCGGGCCCCGCCCGATCCTCTCCCGAAGCGGCAGGCGGGCCTCGGAGCGACGACTTCCGGGGCCCTTAAGGCGGCTCCGGCGGCGAGGGACGAGGGCGCAGAAACGCGAGGCCTCAGCGCGGCGACTCCCTTCGCCCGCCGCGGATGGCGCACGACAGCCGGGGAAATTTTGTTCTGTTTATAGTCCGAAGGAAGAGAGACTGGAGATTCATACGTAGGCACACGGGAAGAAATAGAGGGAGAAACTGATAGAGAGAGATTGATTAGGGGGAAGGGAGAGAATAAGTAAGAAGGAAAACGAGAGGAAGAGAGAGAGGGGGAGAGAAAGAGGAAAAGGAAAGAGAAATAGATGGAGAAAGGGATATCGAGGAATAGAGAGAGAAAGGGAGTTCCATAGAAAGAGAAAGTCAGAGACAGAGAGAGACATCAGAAACAAAAAGAGAAGAAGACGAAGATGAAATGGAAAGAGAAATATAGAAAGAAATATCGAGGGACAGAGAGAGAAAGAGAGATCCAGAGACAGAGAGAGAAAGAGATCCAGAGACAGAGGGAGAGAAAGAGACAGATATCAGAAGCAAAGAGAGAGAGAGAGAGAAAGACCCACAGGCACAGAGAGAGAGACAGCGAGAGAAAGAGACAGATATCAGAAGCAAAGAGAGAGAGAGAGAGAGAGACCCACAGGCACAGAGAGAGAGAGAGACCCACAGGCACAGAGAGAGAGAGAGAGACCCACAGGCACAGAGAGAGAGAGAGAGAGAGAGAGAGCGAGAGAAAGAGAGCGCACTGCCAGCCATTGAGTCCGCCCGATCCCTTTCCCCTCAACAGCTCGTTCTTCACCCATTTTAGAACGCAACCCTCGCGCCCATTTATTACCCGAACCCGCTGCTCTGTTTAACGCCCGTCGCCGAAACGCAGGAATCCCTTAACACACTGCCCTGGCGATGCGATAAATCTATTTGGATTTTCGCTCTTTCCTTTCAGTCCCTCCTCGCCCCCCCCCCTCCCCAACCCTCATCTGTGTCCGTGTCTCATCTCCCTCTCTCTTATTCCCTCCGTCGTCTCTCACTCTTTCTCCTCTCTTCATCCTTCCCTCTCTTCTTATTCCCTTCGTCCTTCCTTCTCTCACTCCTTACTTCCCTCCCCGTCACCCTTTCTCTTCCTCGTTGTCTACTTCTTTCCCTTGAATTTTCCATCCCTTCCTTCCTTCCCTCTATTCATCCCTACCCCTCTCCTCCCTCCTACCTTCCTTCCCTCTCCTCCCTCCTGCCTTCCCTTCCTCTCTCCTTGTCGATCACATTCTAAGGAAAAAAATACAGAAAATTCAGAACCTTCGACAGACACAAACCCTTTAAGTAATCAATCAAAAGTGTATCTCATCTTCCCTCTCCCTTACCCCCTCCTCCCCCCTTTCCAATCCTTCTCTAGGCCTAGAGATGGTTCTAGAAATCTCCCTTCTACCTGTGCCCACCCCGTCCCTCCCCTCCCCCTTCCCCTACTGTAACTACCCCTGCCTCTCCCTTTGCTCCCATCTTCCCCACATATCTGTTCACCTCTTCCATCCCTCCCCAGCATCCTTTTACCCTTTTCCTCCCTCCCCAACCCCCTCCCCACCCTACATACACCCGGACATCCCCCCCCCCCTAGCATACATTCTCCAAAATTACAGGCACATAAACTTTCCCCAAATTGAAAAGGCTTATCCCAATCCTTAAACCTGAATTTCCGAACCCTTTCTCCCCCCCCCCCTTCACCCCACCATTCTCCCATCCCCCTTACCCTCCTCCCTTTACCTCGCCACCGTGAGTCATCAACCTTACATTGTAAACTATTGTATACCATTTTAAATCCCCAACCATCCCCTCCCCTCTCCCCTCCCCCCCCTCGTCCCCCTCCCCTAGCCCCCACTAACACTTCTTTCTTTCAACGCATATTCACAACTCTCAGCGTTTCTTTTATATATTTTTGAAAGCTCCCTTTTTCTCCTTTTTAAGGAAATTCTAAATCTGTCGCCAGCTTACAACAAAAGATTTCGGTATATGCAGAAAAGAAATGGATAAATTTGGCATCATGCACACAACATACAGTGATGAATGTGGGCTAAATATACATGCACACATTATACACATGTGCGTACATAAATTCATAGTGAAAAAGACACAATATACAAACGAAAATGGACACAAACAGATAGAAACACGTATTAGAAAATAAGTATAGTTTAGGACACAAGTCGCTCGCCGTGAACGAGGCTTTGAAACCTGAACAACCCGTTCGAACGAGAATCGAAACATGTAAAAGGCTTTTGTCCATGACCGCGTGTACAAGTTTCTCTCGCCATATCTTTATGAAACAAGAAAAAGCCTCGAACTCATCGTAAAGTAGAGTAACAGACCCTGAAGAAACGGTCGGGATAGATAAACAATTGAATAAATGAGGAAAACAAACATGGACGCGAATAAAAAAAAAATCCCTCAGTTTAAATCTCTCAGACCTCGCCAAGCTTTGCGTTGCGTTTGTTATGATCGCGTTCGCATAATGCGAAGGCGGTGAATACGAATCCGGACGAGTTCCCGGATGTGCCGTTTTCGTGGCGCGATTTGCTTCGGTCTCGCCGTTTCCGAAGCGGCTCGTTTTTTTCTGTCTTTCTTTCTTTTTTCATTCTATTTAATTTATTCATCATTTCTTAATTCTTGTTCGGAGGCGGGGTTGGAGTAGATCAAATTTGCAAAGAAAGTGCAATGAGAGAGAGAGTGGGCGTGTGTAGAAAGTGGTGCAAAAGTGGAGGAAGCAGGTTGAAGGTGGAGAAAGGAGTGGAAAAGTGGATTTTGAAAAGTGATGCACAGATAGAGAAGGTGTGGATGAGAAGGCATTCATGTTCAAGTGGAAAAGAGGTTGCGGGGGCGTCGCAAGTGGAGCGCAGGTCAA